CCCCCCCCTCTAGCGTTGGTCACTTATTCTAACAGAAACATCCAAAGTGTAACACTTGTAGAAGACATCACCCAGGAGAATGTTGGATGACACAAGGATTATGTATAGGTTGTGGTAAATCTGGGCATTTCCGAAAGGAATGTCCTACAAACTCTTGGAAAACCAATGCCGATGGCCCTGTTCAAAATCAGTCTACCTCAGTCCGACTTGCACCAACAGGAAACAACCCACAAACAAAATCATGCAGTGAAAGACCACATTGAAGAAAACTCTAGTGTCTTCATTTATATATTTCCTTATTTGTTAATTTATAAAATTATCCATGTACTGATGTAACGCCCTCAAACCAGCCTAGTTTTAAATAAATAAATATTATTTATTTATTGAGACTCATTATTTTAAATTAAAAAATAATGAGATTTCGATCCATTCAAATGATTTCCAAGGCTAATGTATTTTAATTATTATTAAAGATGTTTTACTAACGGGTCTCTCGACATTAATTAAGTAAATAAATTAATTAATGATTGGGATGGATCCAGAAGTTTGGAAATAAAGTTTTTAGAAAAATATTTTGAAGATATCATAAATTTAGTTTTGACTGTTTATTTCCGAAAATGCAAACGGTTTTCAATTCGGACAAGTTCGGGGGGGAAAGCGTGTACCGTTCATGTCAGATTTTTACATAACGGAGTAGATAAATATTTGTAACCCCCATGCCCCCTGGTTCGGCCCCCTCCACGTCCATCATGGTTCATTCATTAGCTCTTTCAATCCACCATTTACACAATATAATAAACCTCTCATCACTCCCCATTCTCATCATTTTCCAATTGTAACCCCCATTGTTAATTCCTCATCAAGTCTCCATCATCACCATCCAACTTCCTCCTTCCCTTGTTCGGCCAGGGAAGCAGCCCAGGGAGGTTTCCGACGAAGCTCCGGTGGGTGCACGGTTGAGGGAGAAGAAGAAGAAGAAGCATAGCTAGGCCGTTCGTGCGAAGCGTAGTCAACGCTCCTCGTCATCTTCATAGTTTCAACACATCGTTTAGAGCTGAGTAGTTGTCCCCTCTAATTCTAGAACATTTAGTTATAATCTATGTCGTTATATTCATAGGAATATCGTACGCAACCTACGTAGAATCTACGCATGTTCGTAGGTTAGCCATCAAAACGTTCACTACGTAAAAATCGTATATATTGGCCTAGGAATCACTAGGAATATATTCATCAATGTTTACATTATTGTTCTAAAAAGAATCAAGGTGTTAAGTTTGCAAAATGGACCAAAACGTAGCCAAGGACAATGGACTATCCTCGGGACGGTTGACCGCCGCTATGGACGGTGGACCGTACCCTCGGCCAGTCCGACGGTCACGACTAGGACGGTCGACCGTCAGCCGCGATGGAAGACCTAGGTGGACCATCAGTAACCCAGAACCAGACCGTTCCTCGGGCAGAATTTCGGGCAGTTTGTAGAATGAGTTCCGTTGACCATGTAACGCCCCAAAATATACCCAAGAATTATTAATAGATAATTATTAAAATTAATCAAATTTGTTTTGATTAAAATAAATTGTTGTTGGGCTTTGGACCGATAAGAAAAATGCTTAGATGTCCAATATCACAATCTAGATAAATCTCATAAAGATAAATCCAATATGTTAACTATTTGTATTGTCTTGATTGGGAACCTGAGTACAGACCCAAATCAAAAATAAATGAAGAAATCATTTAAGAAGTGAACTTTAAAACGATTTATTTAAATAAATCATGAGATTAAATAATATGAATTTAGTATGAAAACCGGTCGCTTAGAGGCCTTTCGAGGGGATGAAGGGCCAGCTGAGGGTTGCTGGGAGGAATCCAGTTCTCCCCCTGCAACAGCAGCTTGACCAGGTCACTCCGACGAGTTAGTGCGACTTTCGTTAGTCCACTTCTCCAAACTTGTGTAGTATGCTGCTTCATGCTCCAAAAGGGGCATATGCTCATCGTACACGCTCATCCAACTTGCGTAATGCCGCTCATAGGAAGGCGGTTGGCCAAAAGTGCCCTGGATGCCGCACGAAAGTTGTCATAAGGGTTTGGTAGAATGGGCGGCGGTTTCACTGTAGGCCACTGCTGGCGAGGAAGAGAGCGGCAAAACTCGTAGGGATCTAGCCCTCCCTAGTCGTTGGAATTAACAGACTTTGGGGAAGAGGCAGATTCCGACGGAGAAGGAGAATGACCATCGGAAAGATTCATGGAAATGGGAGTAGGGGTGTTCATCGGTACAGGACCAGACCGAAGACCGAAATTGGAAAAATATAGGACCGAGGAATGGACCTATTCACTGTCGGTCTTGGACTGGTCTGGACTGAAATCTCTTAGACCGAACCGAAATAGACTCATAAGACCGAATTTTTTTCAATTTAATTTTTTAAATCTAATTAGAACTTAGTTATAGATGTAGAATGTCAGGAAAGGATACTTAGCCTGAGCTGGTACAGTAGGAAGCCCAAAACATAATGTAAAACCCAGTTTCCTTATTTAGAACTTTGTTTAAATAGATATAATAAAAGGGAGTGACCAATTAACCATGCCCTAAACTCCCCTAAAGCTATAAAACAAGAGTTGACTTCACAGCAAAAGCAATACTACTTTACAGAGAAGGAGACGAGGGAGACGATGAGTAGCGACTGCAAAAGGGCAAATCTGCGATCGGCAATTGAGTTTTTTGAGGCAAGGGAGTCACCTTGTCGACGCTGGGCAGTGGGCTCGAGTGTACGATTGATGAGTGATGATTGCGACATGGCGAATCTACGATCGCTGATTCCTCTCTCAGGATGTCGAACAACACACGCAGTGAGGCTGAGGCACATCGCAAGCAACACAGGGTCATAGTCTCACAGACTCACAGGAAGGTCTTTACGGATAAGGGGGCATCTGAGTGGTGATTTTTTAACGAAACATATAAAAGAAACATATAAAATTAGAAAGGGAGGTTATCAGTCTTTTTAGGTCTGGACCGATTAGAAATCGGGTCTTGACCGGATCGGACCGAAACCTGAAATTAAAAATACTTCGGATCGAAGACCGACCCAAAATCCTATAAGTTCGGGTTTGGTCTGGACCGATCGGTCCGGTTCGGTCGGTTTCTCTGGTCCATACCTATAAATGAACACCCCTAAATGAGAGCTTCTCCAGACATGGTGGAAGACAATCACAAAATATTGGAAAAAGGACTTGTGATGGAAGAAGAAAATGGAGTAAAGGGGGGCTTATAAAGAGTCCAAGGTGGAAAGACCGAAGGGATGGCCAAGTCCCAAGGCAGCTGAATCGATAAAGTTGCATCGAGCAGCGAAACGGCCCAATCAACTACCCGAAGCAATGCAATTGGTCAGTTGGGCGGCACGTCAACAAGTCATTAAGTTGGGCTCTTCGTACAAGTGGGTTAGAAAAAGAGGATTGGGCCCAGTGTGGGGCGTGTTCCTAGTTCAAAACGGTACCCTCTCCCGCCTTAGTCGCCGAAGAGCTGATCCTCATTTCCTGGTCATCCTGCCCATCTTGGTCGCCCTGGGTGGTCCTCTTATCCTCTCATTCAGAGTCATCTAGATCCTCTTCCTCCATATAGGGGGGTGGGATAGAACTCGGTAACAGTGTCACAAGGTGGAGGAAGGCCAATGTTAGGAAGAGAAGTCCCTTTGGGGAGCAGAGCTAGCTTGCTATGGAAGACCTGCTGCATCCAGAAGAGTCCACGGCGAAATGCCTTCTTCGCCTCCCCGACCATCCCGTCAGTCCCGGGCTTGGTCAGGATCCACTAAAGGACCAGCTTGTCCATTCGCTCCATGGAGACCGCGACAAACTCGGGAGAAGCTTTGAAGGCCTCGATCGCCTCCTCCAAGCAACGGGCCTGGTCGCCCTTCTTAGCTTCCAACTGGCGAACCAGTTCAACCTTCTCTCCTTCTAGTTCGACCACACGAGCAGAGGTGGATCCCACTTCGGAGGACAACGAGGATTTCTCCTCCTCCAGTCGGGCAGAGTGACTCTTCTCACCCAACAACTCCTCCGCAAGGTCAGAGCTGCGTTTCTTCTCTTCCAATAGCTCCCTCGTTAGACGACCAACCTCGTCCTGCAGCTTCCTCTCCTCAGCCTCGGCCCTCTGCTTCACTTCATCCAAAGCGGATTAGTGGTCCTCCTCTCGGCCCGCAATCTCGATCATCCTGAGAGAGGCCTGTATCGAAGTGTGAAGGACCAAAAGTATATGACAGAGCATGGGACAATAAGGGAAAGGAGATGGAAGGAAAAGAACGGTCGGGGTGGATAGCTAATCAAGTTTTAGCAGGACCATGTTGGCAAGATCCCTGAAAGAACTAGCCAAGAAGCGAGCCCGATCATGGGCCAGAAGAACGATGGAGGTCTCCAGCTAGACATCCCCCAGTCCTGGAGATGAAGGGGGGAATGCTAAACTTCGTCGAGCCACCCTCATACGTCAGTGCAGGTGGGGAGGGAGGTCGCTCAAAAAGGGCTCTCGGGGACGACCTGACCAGGTCGCTCTCATGAATCGAGGTTCGCAGTGGAGAGTTGGTCGCCACCGCCCCTGTCTCCGGGGTCGCCTCATCTTGGTCCCCTAGCTCAATTACCACCTAATCGAGCTAGAAACGGTCCTCATGGCTTGAGGATGGACGCTTCCCCCTACCCTGGGGGGCTGTGTCTCTCTTCCTCTTCTTTCCTCCCACGAGATGGCCCAGCAGCAGATCTTCCTCCATCTCGTCTCCTAATCCCTCCTGCTCAACTGGGAACGAATGAAATAGTTAGTATACTAAGGACACTGTTGAACTACCTAACTAAAAAGTGAAAGGATTTACCAAAGGGACCATAGTCGGCGCTCCTCCCGTGGAGATCGCTCAACAAGTCAAGCTGGTGGCGAAGTTCATCCCTAATGAACTCAAACCCAAGCTCGGCAAGGGACTCCTTGGTCACCACTGACCTGATCTTGATGGCTTCCTTGCCGTAGAGCTTTCTGGTGATGGAGAGGAGTGTAGCGTTTGGCTTGGGAGGTGTAACGCGGCAGAAGGATGGGTGCCCAAAATCCGTGAAAGGAGATTTGGGCCCCGTGGAAACAAAAACAAAACAGGGCTTCCAATCCTTGGTCGATCTCTTCTTGTCTCTAGAAAAAAGCTTACTCGACCGCTGGGAGAAACTGGCATAGGAAGCCCAATCCCCAGGTGGAACACCCTAATCCGTCCAGGTCTGCAGCCCCTTTCGAACTAAAGTATTGATTTGGTAATCGTGATAATTTAAAACATTTCAAACATTTTTATTTATAAATAATATTCCATACATAATTGTAGAGAAATACGGAGTGTTTAAATAAAATGCGGAAGCGACTTTAAAATTTGTCTCATAACAACATAATTATTTATTTCATTCAATAATCTACCACGACTGTCTCGCCCCTTCTGCTGCCAGGAATCAGCCAATCATTCATTCTGCCTACCTGCGTGTAGCAAATAAAACACACTACACGCTCAGCGGTGAAGCTGAGTAAGCATATCTAAAGCGTCGAACATCCACATAAATTGAATCTCAATTCACAATCAACCATTTGATATCATGCACACAATATATGGTTCAACCATTCATAATATTTTCCATATTTTATTCCAANTTAAACTATAAATAGTTTAATGCAGAACACAAGAATCGCTAATCCACCCTATGAGTCATGTGGATTACGTACCAACCGAACAATGATTTGTCGGGTGGGTGATATCCGGTTTGGATCCCGTACGTACGTTTTAACCCGAAATATGAATTGGTCAAGTAGGTATATATCTTAGAGTTCTTCTAGATATCCTTAACAATACGATTCATTAATTCATTATTTTTACTTTAACAATTCATGATCATCATTCAAAACGTTCATCATCATTAATTCATTATAATCAATAATCAAACAATCGTCATAATGCATAATAACAAATAGCGGCCTAGTCTCGAGTGTTAACACCCGAACTTACCGCCATGCATCACATAATGTTTATATGTCACAAACATCATTTTTATTGTACAAAATCATATTTATATGGTTTATAATTAATTGGTAACAAAATAGGATTTTAGAGCATATTTTCAATAATATTTTCAGAACAGGATCTGTACTTGAGGAAAATTGATTTTTATTTTTTTAAAATAATCAATTAATACCTAAAAATAGATTTTTATATTTTAAATAATCAATTAAATGCTAAAAATCGATTTTTATATTTTAAATAATCAATTAAATGCTAAAAATCGATTTTTAAATTTTAAATAATCAATTAATGGCTAAAAATCTATTTTTATATTTTAAATAATCAATTAAAAGCTAAAAATCGATTTTTAAATTTTAAATAATCAATTAATGGCTAAAAATCGATTTTTATATTTTAAATAATCAATTAAATGCTAAAAATCGATTTTTAAATTTTAAATAATCAATTTATGGCTAAAAATCGATTTTTATATTTTAAATAATCAATTAAATGCTAAAAATCGATTTTTATATTTTAAATAATCAATTAATGGCTAAAAATCGATTTTTAGTTTCAAAATAATCGATTAATACTTTTTAAATCGATTTTTATATTTTAAATAATCGATTACATACTGACTTCGAATATCCTCTTCTGGACATAATTCTAATCGATTTTTTAGAAGTAAATAATCAATTTTCGGCTACTGTTCATCATCTTCTTCCTCTGGTCAGTTTCGAGTATTATCATTTTTAAACACCAAATTTCAATTAAATTATATAGAAATGTCCTCCCAGGTTCATAGATCATTTTAGAATCATTAAAACATATTTTTAACATCAAATTCAAGGTTTATGATTCTTGGTTCTTCAAACATGTCAAACACAAAACTCAACCAAATGACCATTTATGAACGTAAAAACAACCTATATGAACATTCTAGTCATTAGATATATCTACGGGCTTACTTGAAGCGTAAGGGAGGTCTTGAAGATTTTCCGGCGAAACTTCCGGCGACTCTATCTCACTGCTCCGGCGACCTCACCAGCAAGGAACAATATAGAAGGAAGAATGAGTTGTTTTGGTGTTGAAATGAGGGAGTTGGGTTGTCCTTAAATAGCCCAGGGAAGAAGAAGAAGACACAGGTTTGCAGCTTCCGTGATTGAGCGACGAATTTGGAATCGGGGTAATTGAACAGGGCGCCGTTTGGTGTGTAGTCCCTGATTGGGACTAATTTTGGTCCCAAATGGGGTACACTTTTTGTTCCAACTTTCTCCAAATTGAAATCCGATTGAACCGTTGGGGTCAGACAGTCAAACTCTACATAATGATATAATTTTCATTATTTATTTGTTTTGGGTGTTTGACTTTGACAGAGTCAAAATTGGCTTAATTGACCTTTCTCATAAAAGGTTCTCTCATTTAATTCATATCAGTTATTCTCATAATTTATTTTAAGAAATCATTTCAATATTTACATTCTAAAAAATTTCTTTATTTACTATTGATTTGGGTCTGTACTCAGGTTCCAATGAAGACCACACTAATAGTTCACATACTGGATTTATCTCTATGAGATTTATCCTAAATACGTTTATTGGATGTCAATACATATTTTATTTCGGCCCAAAGCCCAATAATAATTTATTTTAATCAAAACAAATTTGATTAATTTGAATAATAATTCATTAATAATTCTAGGGTATATTTTGGGGCGTTACATTTCTTCCCCCTCTTAAAGAAATTTCGTCCTCGAAATTCTTCTAAGGTCAAACGTTCAACATTTCGTAGTGATCTCACTTAATCATGACCGTGTCATGCTCAATGGGTTAAACCATATTTACGTCATTATCCATGTAATCTCAAACTGTCGATGTTATCAAACTTGTTCTTTCTTCAAGAGGTTAACAATCTTAGATTAAGCAAGGTATCCAACAATCCTTTTGCGGGTTCCCGTTCAAATTCAACATCCATAACTTAGGTTCTTTTGTAAGGTATAACATCGTATTTTGGAGCATATTTAACATATTTGCACATCACTTCGTTCATTCACAAGTCTCGATTGTACGTCATTACTCAACAACATTCCTTCTTTGATTCAAAGTTCTTCAATAGCCTTTGTAGTTTCAAATCATCACCTTCACGATAGGTATAGTTCGGGATTTAGAGTTTGTTTCAAAACATCTTCACATCGTTCACATAGTCCATCAATGACTCGTAAATAACATTAAATGGCTTTCATCGGTTCAGAATATGGGATTTGTCATCATTTATAAGGAAGTACTTTTGATTAATTGTACAGTAGCTTGTTATCATCGATTTACATCGAAACATTTCTTCATTCACTTCATGGTAGCGCTCATTTATCGTTTAATGAGTCTTCGTATTCATAGGTGATGACGTTTGAGTAGCGTCTCTTGTACGACTTGTCGTATTCAAACTTCTTCTATTAATTTGAAAACATATCTAGATATGATAGCGACATATTCGATATTAGCACTATGGCTGATCTCGTTTCGAGGGACGAAAAAAATATCTTCGGTATGTGATTCAATTCACGAATTCATAGAGTGAGGGATCTTTACTAGTTCTTACACCAATATTGCATATAGGTTCAGGATTTTCGCTTGAATGATTCATCTTTTTTGTGACGTCATTTCTTCTCTGGTTGTTGCATACACATTTCCTTGTCAGGGTTATAATGGAGTTTGCTTGGTCAATAAGATCATCGATAATGATCTTTAGAGATAACGTAATTGTACTGATTGTTTTGTGGTCCACAAAGAGAGGTTCAACATAATGTTCAAGTCAAGGTAGTTTTACTTTTGTGATCGAGTCACGTATTCCACAAGGTATAGTTTTCAAAGATCGTATCATAAATCATCTTTTTGTTTAATGAAGAATCGTGGTTTTATTATTTTGATACAAAGAATGGAATTCAATCTTTTCAAGATTGATCAAGCGGGATGTTTCAAGGGTGTAGTTAACACATCAAGTTTGAGTAATTCAAGGATATGAGTCATAAGATATCAAGATAGCATTTGCAATTTACCGTTACTAATAGTAGGTTTTCTTCCTTCAATGTTTCACTCTTTGGAAGTTACTCAAGAGGTTGTTGTGTTAGGAAATAGACGTTTTGACTTTTCGTCTCGGATTTGAACGTGTTTCAGCACAGCGAATCAAACTATTCAAGAGTCTCAATACGTCATATCTTCAGCATACTATAGTATTAGCGAGTACGTTCTCGTCTGCAAGTAATTTGAATCCATTTTACTGTATGTATTTTGGCTGGTGATAATTACTTTTCCATCAATGGTCAGGTTCTAGAGACTATATATATCACGATTATAGGGAGAGTATCTCACATTCTCACATTATGGAAGGAACTTCTCGAACACTTCCTTACACCATAAGATTCGTTGGTCTTCTTGGAAGTCATTCTCTTGGTAGAAATCCAAAGTTTATGGCTACTGCAATAGATTTAGGAAGAGAATTGATAAGGCGAAGAATTAGTCTTGCTTATGGAGGAGGAAACGTTGGCCTACAAGGAGCTGTTGCTTCAACAGTCTTTACCAATGGTGGTCTCGTTAGAGGTTTCATTCCTGGGTACATTGCAACACGACGGGTCTACGGACCTACATACGGCGTAGAGCACACAGTTTCTAGCAATTACTACAAATATTTTGAGATGAATCATGCCGTGGAAGCTTTCATCATTCTTCCCGGAGGAGTTGACACTATGGAAGGTTTGTTCACCTTGATCTCGTGGGCTTCTGAAGGGTTACACAATAGACCCATTGGTCTCTTGAACATTGACGGTTATTTCAGTAACCTAATCAAATTTCTAGATGATGCCGTGAGGCAGAACTTCATGTCTTTGAGTCAGAGGAAACTTTTCATTTCTTCTTTCTTTGTTGATGAGCTTTTAGACAAACTAGAGTTTGCTAAAGCTTTCCCGGGACCTGGGGTTAGTTATGATGAGTTTCTAAATCCTGGAAGACTAGACTTAGAATTGCATCTGTAACTTTCCTCTTGTAATCCAAGTTGTATCTTGTGTTGCAATGATATTATCCATAAATATTCTCCTAGGCTGTATGGCTAGTGCGAGCTACATTTTCTTCATTCTTTCAGTCTTTCACTGTTGGTGTGCCACGTCGTGATCTTTCATGTTAATAGCTAATACAAATGAGTCCATTTCAAAGTAAGGAGTAGTGATTCTTAATCGTCAATTTGTTCAAGTTTCCTAACAGAGAATAGTTAGTATCCTGACCGTAAGTCAATTTTAGAGAACACAATGGATCCTCTAAGATGATCAAATAAGTCATGATACAAAGTAAAGGATAAGGATTTGTTTAATTGACGATAGTTCATACAGAGTCTCGTCGATCCTTCTGTATTCGCGTATGAACAAAGTAGATATTCAAAGAGAAAACACTTGATCAAATGATTCTTTATTAAGGAATCCTTGAGTTTTCAATCTCAACGGAGGTTTATTCAACATGGAATTACATAGATATTAGATAGTGCAAATCCCGGATCAGTACATGGATAATTTTATAAATTATCAAATAAGGAAATATATTAATGACGACACCAGAGTTTTCTTCAACGCGGTCTTTCATTGCATACACACATGCATGATTTTGTTTGCGGGTTACTTCCTCCTGGTGCAAGTCGGGCTGAGGTAGACTGATTTTAAACAGGGCCATCAGCATTGGTCTTCCAAGGGTTTGTAGGACATTCCTTTCGGAAATGCCGAGATTTACCACAACCTATACATAATCCTTGTGTCATCCAACATTCTCCTGGGTGATGTCTTCTATAAGTGTTACACTTTGGATGTTTCCACACTCTTAATTTGTTCTGAGTTGACAAAAGTTTTCTTCTTTTCGAGGGTGGGGCACTACAAGTTCCAGTCAAAGGCTTCTTTCCCTTAATATCGGGTTTGATACTTGAATACTCATTGGAGTGACCTTCAATATCTTGGTGGATGTTTTGATTGTCTGGTTCTTTTCGGACAACAAGAGTGAAATTCGATATTTCAATATGAACCGTTGTGTTTCCATTGTTTTGCACTTGGTTATCTTGCCTGCGCGCAGTTTCTTGACTCATTCTACAAATAGTTGGAATTTCTTTATTAGGATTCCTTATTTGCGTAGGTGCGTTGATAACAGATATCACGAGGGTATATAACAGTTGCGACGATTGAAAACAATCAAGAGAGATTGGAAGAAACGATAGGGTTTATTAATTCTAAACATTTTCGTTTGCGTCAACGATTGGTTCGCGTTGAGGCCACATGAGGATCTTTGACACCGGCTTCACAAATGTTGTTCAACATATATCAACACGAATCGTTCTTCAGGTTCATCTCACTTCCGTGTTACTTTTCTGGAACAGATCAACTTCGTCATTCACGATGCGATGCGTACGTTGATAATGTATCAGAGGTTTATACATTTTTTTTATTCTTTCGTTTCTTCACTGAATACGAAAATTCGACTTGAGTCTTTACTCGATATAATTTCAGTACTAACAATTGTTATCGAATGAGAATTTAACACAGTCAATATTTACCAAGTAAATTCTCATACCTTTCCTGGAGCAGAGAGATGCGAGAGTCGTGGATGTGATTGACAATATTTTTTTTACCCAAAATATATAATATATATTTTTAAATAAAACATTGATCCGAAGATCGTGTTTAAAACCATTTGCTCCGATACCAAATTGTAACACCCTAATCCGTCCAGGTCTGCAGCCCCTTTCGAACTAAAGTATTGATTTGGTAATCGTGATAATTTAAAACATTTCAAACATTTTTATTTATAAATAATATTCCATACATAATTGTAGAGAAATACGGAGTGTTTAAATAAAATGCGGAAGCGACTTTAAAATTTGTCTCATAACAACAAAATTATTTATTTCATTCAATAATCTACCACGACTGTCTCGCCCCTTCTGCTGCCAGGAATCAGCCAATCATTCATTCTGCCTACCTGCGTGTAGCAAATAAAACACACTACACGCTCAGCGGTGAAGCTGAGTAAGCATATCTAAAGCGTCGAACATCCACATAAATTGAATCTCAATTCACAATCAACCATTTGATATCATGCACACAATATATNNNTTAAACTATAAATAGTTTAATGCAGAACACAAGAATCGCTAATCCACCCTATGAGTCATGTGGATTACGTACCAACCGAACAATGATTTGTCGGGTGGGTGATATCCGGTTTGGATCCCGTACGTACGTTTTAACCCGAAATATGAATTGGTCAAGTAGGTATATATCTTAGAGTTCTTCTAGATATCCTTAATAATCATCATCAATATACAAGTGGATATATCTTAGAGTTGTTCTAGATATCCTTAACAATACGATTCATTAATTCATTATTTTTACTTTAACAATTCATGATCATCATTCAAAACGTTCATCATCATTAATTCCTTATAATCAATAATCAAACAATCGTCATAATGCATAATAACAAATAGCGGCCTAGTCTCGAGTGTTAACACCCGAACTTACCGTGATGCATCACATAATGTTTATATGTCACAAACATCATTTTTATTGTACAAAATCATATTTATATGGTTTATAATTAATTGGTAACAAAATAGGATTTTAGAGCATATTTTCAATAATACTTTCAGAACAGGATCTGTACTTGAGGAAAATTGATTTTTATTTTTTTAAAATAATCAATTAATACCTAAAAATCGATTTTTATATTTTAAATAATCAATTAAATGCTAAAAATCGATTTTTATATTTTAAATAACCAATTAATTGCTAAAAATCGATTTTTATATTTTAAATAATCAATTAAATGCTAAAAATTGATTTTTAAATTTTAAATAATCAATTAATGGCTAAAAATCGATTTTTATATTTTAAATAATCAATTAAATGCTAAAAATTGATTTTTATATTTTAAATAATCAATTAATGGCTAAAAATCGATTTTTAGTTTCAAAATAATCGATTAATACTTTTTAAATCGATTTTTATATTTTAAATAATCGATTACATACTGACTTCGAACATCCTCTTCTGGTCATAATTCTAATCGATTTTTTAGAAGTAAATAATCAATTTTCGGCTACTGTTCATCATCTTCTTCCTCTGGTCAGTTTCGAGTATTATCATTTTTAAACACCAAATTTCAATTAAATTATATAGAAATGTCTTCCCAGGTTCATAGATCATTTTAGAATCATTAAAACATATTTTTAACATCAAATTCAAGGTTTATGATTCTTGGTTCTTCAAACATGTCAAACACAAAACTCAACCAAATGACCATTTATGAACGTAAAAACAACCTATATGAACATTCTAGTCAATAGATATATCTACGGGCTTACTTGAAGCGTAAGGGAGGTTTTGAAGATTTTCCGGCGAAACTTCCGGCGACTCTATCTCGATGCTCCGGCGACCTCACACAAAGATGACAGCACCACTGCACTCTACTCTCAGCAAGGAACAATATAGAAGGAAGAATGAGTTGTTTTGGTGTTGAAATGAGGGAGTTGGGTTGTCCTTAAATAGCCCAGGGAAGAAGAAGAAGACACAGGTTTGCAGCTTCCGTTATTGAGCGACGAATTTGGAATTGGGACTAATTTTGGTGTGTAGTCCCTGATTGGGACTAATTTTGGTCCCAAATGGGGTACACTTTTTGTTCAAACTTTCTCCAAATTGAAATCTGATTGAACCGTTGGGGTCAGACAGTCAAACTCTACATAATGATATAATTTTCATTATTTATTTGTAACACTTTTTCCGATCATTTTTTTTTGGGTGTTTGACTTTGACAGAGTCAAAATTGGCTTAATTGACCTTTCTCATAAAAGGTTCTCTCATTTAATTCATATCAGTTATTCTCATAATTTATTTTAAGAAATCATTTCAATATTTACATTCTAAACAATTTCTTTATTTACTATTGATTTGGGTCTGTACTCAGGTTCCAATCAAGACCACACTAATAGTCCACATACTGGATTTATCTCTATGAGATTTATCCTAAATACGTTTATTGGATGTCAATACATATTTTATTTCGGCCCAAAGCCCAATAATAATTTATTTTAATCAAAACAAATTTGATTAATTTGAATAATAATTCATTAATAATTCTAGGGTATATTTTGGGGCGTTACACCAGGCCTCTGGCCAGCTTTAAAGTAAATAGGAAATGATCGAGGGTGGGTTCCACCTTGGCTTCTTGACACTAAATCAAGTAACCGGCGATGTACCAGTGTGAATTTAGGACTAGTTGGCAAGGAAGGAGGTCCACACGTTGAGGAACTCCACCAACAGAGAATGTAGAGGGAACCGTAGTCCCTTCTTCAAAGAAGCCAAGTGAACAGTGAAGAACCTTGGAGGGGCGTCCAGGGCAGTCTGAGTCCTGCTGGGCCGCCGGACTTCAATGGAGGGGCCGACCATGTCAGTGGCATCGACAACCCCTTGGTCAGAAAGTTGGCAATGGCATAGGGCCATGATATTCTCCTCTAACTCAACTCTAGGGCCCCGTAACGCAGGGGTCAAGGAGGGGAATTGTTTCTTCAGCCGGCGCAGCTTCTGGCCGGGCGCCACCGCTAACGGCAGCTGTGGCGAACTAGATTGGCCTTGATCTTGGCCAGAGGGGGTCGATTTGACCGGCTTGATGAGGGCTGGAAGGTGGGGAAGCCGAGTCTGGATCCGAGATAATCATGATAGCGAAGGGAGAACTGACCTGCAGATTGGGGAAAATGGGTCGGGTTGCAGCGAAAGAACAGGTTGTTGCAGGTAGAGACGAAAAGGGTGTCCCGCGAAGGTTTTTATCAAAGTGGAGTGGAAGGTGAAGCAGCGGGTCATGATTGCATTTGAGGGAGATCGTGCCAACTGTCACGCGAAAACAAAGGAACGGATCTGATCTATTGAGGGGGCGCCCACGTGGACCTCGTAAACTCCATATCCCTCAACGCGACCCGTTTGAGGAATGAGAAGTTGGGGGCTTGTGATGGGCCGATACCCAACGGGCGGCCCAAACATCGCGCCCAAACGGCGCTGGGTCACTGGAGCGTGTGTGATGCGATTCCGGGCCGGTCCAAGAGCTTGGGCCTGGACTAGCCCAATGAAGAGATAGCTGGAAGAAGCCGACTCAGGGGAGGAAACTCAGCTGAAGACGGAGATATAGCCGAAGAAATGTGATCGCGCCATGGGTAGATGAGTCTCTCTGAATTGTGAACTATCATAATTACATAGAAAACATATATAAATAGAGAGGACCCGAATGGGGATCCTCAAGCTGAATCAAGCAAATAAACCTATGATTCTCGAGTTCTTGTTTAGTGTTAATTCTTTCGATCCTCCGTTCTAAGTCGGATCATTTGGTGGATTTATTGTCCATCACTACCACTTTTTGTGAGTTCTAGTGATTGATATAAGTTCAATATTTTTCTCCTTTTGTCATTATTGCATTTGTTGTAAGTTGTCGAATTGGTGCCAGATTGCTTAAAGAGACAATTAGAACTTTCTAAGGAACTTTATCGTGTGGCTCAAACACTCAACTCGCTCCACACTTTGACCGTGAGTTATGGGCCTCATGGCTGGTCATCCTTTGAGAGCTCATGCGAGAAGTCATTGTGTTGGCTCGAGGGGTTACTTTCGTGCTTTCTGACATGTGATAAGTTTCTTATTGGAGGCTATAGGAGATGGGGCATCATTCGCAAGATTACTCAGAAGATTTTGTGTTTTCCCCAAAATTTGAAATAGTTTTCATCAAATAAGGTGCCCACTAACACAACTACCAGCCCTTCATTGATTGAAAAAGATTCGTAACAAAGGCGAGTAAAGCTAGAGTAGCACATTTTTGGAAAAAAAAAATTTCTATATTTGCATCTGATGGGTATATCCTTATACCCGACCCAGACAACCGAAAGGGACAGGTCAAAATATGACCGGTCACTTTTATCAATTACCAAATGAAGTTAACTCTTCGATTGGGACGGGTCAAAAGTTGACCGGTCACTTCCACTAAAAAAGTGACCGGTCACATTTTGGGCGATAGAGAAAATATCATCTTATGCTACGAAAGACATTCTAGTAGACCAAAGAGACGGGTTGAGCGCAAGAAATGACCGGGTAACCTTTTAGAGAAGGTGACCGGTCATATCACTTTACTTGGCTAACATTGGTCCAATCTCTTAGGCATGGTGAACCACGTCTGAGGTCAAGGGGACACCCCGCCGCTCATCCATCACGAGGCACACAGTGAAAGGGATGTTTGTCATTTTCCAGGGTTGATTGGATTGAGAATATCCATTTTAGTCTTTGATTGAACAGTGCTTTTTGGTTGTATTAGTAGCAAGTCCATGATTGTACAGTGCTTCCATTATCTATAGTGACCTTCCCACGAGATTCCTATTTTGTCCATGGATGAACAGGGGAAGGTCACAAATCCTCCTCTATAAATATGATGATATTGGATAGAGGAGGGGATCCAATTTTTCTCTCACTAAAGTTCACTCTTGAGATAGAGTAAGAAATATAATTCGGACTGAGGAGATTTACCCGGTCTAGGTCATACTTTGTGTTCTGGATGTGTGTTTTATATTACGGGTCGAGTGTGTCCAGGTCAAACCCGGTTAACCCACCCCACTATATTTACACCATCATTTTTGGCGCCCAACGTGGGGCCGATTTTTAAGTTTTTTCGACCAGGTCAAACCCGGTTAACCCACCCCACTATGTCAAGCCAGGCTGCGAGTGAAAGCACTCCTGCCATCCCATTGATGATGTCGAGCATGGGGACGACCTTTGCTCCGATCACCGCTGTAGGATCGATTGGCATGATCCCAATCATGTCAACCCCTACTCCTACGCCGACGACAACAATGTTCCCAGGCTCGATAACAACGCCTGGTGGAGCATTCACACCATACCCGTCAGCTTGGGCTCAGTTTGCTGCTGACCCGGCAAATGCTCAGGCTCTACAGGGCTATCAACAGGTGATGGCCATGANTGTCAAGCCAGGCTGCGAGTGAAAGCACTCCTGCCATCCCATTGATGATGTCGAGCATGGGGACGACCTTTGCTCCGATCACCGCTGTAGGATCGATTGGCATGATCCCAATCATGTCAACCCCTACTCCTACGCCGACGACAACAATGTTCCCAGGCTCGATAACAACGCCTGGTGGAGCATTCACACCATACCCGTCAGCTTGGGCTCAGTTTGCTGCTGACCCGACAAATGCTCAGGCTCTACAGGGCTATCAACAGGTGATGGCCATGATGCAACAGGCAGGTGGCTTCATGTCATTTGCTTATCCCGGCATGACGCCACCAATCATGCCACCTCCGGTGTCGACCCCGTCGACATTTGTCCCTAGGATGGTCCCTATACATCCGGTGAATTTGACGGGGACTTTGAATGAAGCAGCGCCCTCAAATGTCCATGAAATCAATGAGGCGGAGCAGGAGGCGGCCCGCAGGAGGAAGGGTAAGGCTATAGCCAAACCCAGCAAGACTCGAGATTCGGCGTTCAAATGCCTAGGGGACAAAGAGGATGGACCCCGCAAGTCTGCCAAGCTACGCCTTGGTCCTGAGATGGGCCGGACTAGCGCAATGGAAAGACTTGGCGGGAGTCGTCACGCCCAATCTCGTCGTTCTAGGGAATCTGAGACGATTCACCAAGACGAGGAGGAAGCAGAAAGCCAGCCGAGGGCGTCGGCATATACCAGGCTCTCATACGATGAGGATGACCTGGACAAGATAGGGAGCGTAGCAAGGAAATTACGTGCCCTGGAGGAAAAAGTGGAAGAGAAGGCGGGAGCGAAAAAACACACCTTGGCTAAATCTCCCTTTTCGGCCAGGGTACATGCGCAGAGGTTGAGGCGGAAGATTAAGCTGGACGTGGAGAAATTCACAGGAAAGGAGGATCCAAACGTCCACCTTGACACCTTCCACAATGCAGCACAGATGGCCGGGTGCACTGATGCTGAGGAATGCCTACTCTTCTTCTCATCCTTGAGAGGGAGGCCTGTGGAATGGTTTAACGGCCTTCCCCATGGCAGGATTGGGTCCTTTGAGAAACTTGCCGAAGTTTTCCGCAAGAAGTACCAGGACAACTGCATTAAGAGGAAGAAGTTCACCTACCTTAACACGGTAGGGCAGAGGGAGAAGGAGTCCTTGAATCAATTCTTAACCCGCTGGAGGGATGAGGTTGACAAGGTAGAAGAGATGGATGATAAGACGGCCATGTCTTTATTGATGAATGCCTTCTGGTCGGGTGACCTCTACACTGAATTCTGTAGAAGGCCACCCTCCTCTTATCAGGAAGCCTATAATACGGCATGGGAATACGCCGAGGCGGAGGTCCTGAACAAGAGCAAGCGGGAATTAGAGGAAGGATATACGAAGGTGAAATCCGACAAGCCGAAGAAGGATGACCAGATGGGAGGGTCCAAACTAAAGGCTACGTATGACGGGTCTGTCCATCAAATAAGGGATGATAAGAAGGGAGAACAACCCAAGAGGCCTTGGACGGAGAAGTGGTGTACCTACCACCAATCTGACTCCCACAATACGGTGGATTGCCGAAATGTCAAGGCTGTGCTCAAGGAGATGGCCTTGAAAGGAGAGCTTGGGGAAGGTTATGCGACGGGTAATAAGAAAGACCCGAAAGCGAACATCTGGACCCGTCATCAGGGAAAAGACCAGGGGAGGAAAAAATCTGGGAGAGATAACAACAAGCCGGATAAAGAATTCATTGAGATGATTGTCGGTGGCCTAGAAGGCGGGGACACAGCCTCCCAGCGGAAGAATTGGGCCAGGAGCTTGCACGTAGCGGTGGTTTCCCTGGAATCACAAGGGAAGCAGGCAAGAAGGGAACCTATCACTTTCACTGATAGGGATCTGCCCAGGACGGGGGGAGATCATAATGACCCTTTGGTTATTACAATGGATATCAATGGAGCTGATGTGGCCAGGGTCCTGGTTGACACAGGAAGCAGTGTCAATGTTCTATACTTGGATGCTTTCAAAAAATTGAAGCTGGACAGGTCCATGTTGAGACCGTTGCAAACTCCATTGTCAGGCTTCACTGGAGCTAGCATAGAAGCGGAAGGTCAGATCACCTTACCAGTTACCTTGGGGTCGGGTAACAAAATAGTAACCAAGCAAATGAAATTTGTTGTGGTTGATATCAAGTGTGTACATAATGCCATTCTTGGAAGACCTGGAATCAACCAGGTCAGGGCCATCATTTCTATGGCACACTTGTGCATGAAATTCTACACTCCCAATGGGATCGGGGAAGAAAGGGGTGATCAAAAGAATGCCCGGACCTGCTACCTGGAAGCAGTCAAGAAAATGACCCGCCAATTCGAACGAATTGAATTGGTCTCCCAGCAGGTAGACAAGGGTGAGGAGAAGGCTAGGATTGAGCCGGATGCAAACACGGAGGAGATCCAGATTGATGCCTCCAATCCTGAGAGGAAGGTCAAAATTGGGGCTGATCTTCAGGAAGAGCTAAGGACTGAGGTTGTCCAGGTGCTGACCAGGTATAAATCTTTGTTTGCCTGGAGTGTTGCTGATATTCCCGGAATTGACCAGTCAGTCATTTGCCATCGTCTCTCTGTTCTTGAGGGGTCTAGGCCTGTAAGACAGAAGAAGAGATTTTTGGCAAGTGATAGGAGAGATTTTGTAAAGAAGGAGGTTAAGGACCTACTTGAGGTAGGTCATATCAGGGAAGTAAACTACCCTGAATGGCTGGCGAATGTAGTCCTAGCTCCGAAGGGTGATACCTGGAGGATGTGCGTAGACTACACAGACCTCAACAAGGCATGCCCAATGGATTCTTATCCTCTCCCCAGCCCGGACCAAATGGTTGACGAAACCGCCGGGTGTGAGCTGCTAAGTTTCATGGATGCTTTTAAAGGGTATCATCAGATCTTCATGGCGCAAGATGACGAGGAAAAGACGGCCTTCCTCACCCCGGATGGGACATACTGTTACAAGGTGATGGCCTTTGGGTTGAAAAACTCAGGGGCGACCTACTAGAGGATGGTCAATAAATTGTTCAGGCCTTTACTTGGACGGACCATGGAGGCCTATGTCGATGATATGCTGGTGAAAAGCAGGACAGCCAACACACACGCTCAAGACCTGGAAAAATGTTTTGAGATTATGGCTAGGCATAATCTTAGACTTAATCCAAAGAAGTGTGTTTTTGCCGTAAGGACGGGGAAGTTCTTGGGCTTCATGGTTACGAAGAGGGGGATTGAGCCAAATCCTGAGAAGATCAAGGCCATTGTTGAGATGCAACCCCCAACCTCGGTAAGGGATGTCCAGAGATTGACGGGGCGCCTGGCGGCCCTAAACCGGTTCTTGTCCAGATCAGCTGAGAAGGCCTTACCTTTNTTAGCTCGGTCTTGATGAGGGATGATGGGGTCCAGAGGCCCATTTATTATGTAAGCAAGGCCTTAAATGGGGCAGAAAGTAGGTATACTCCCACGGAGAAGGCAGGGTATGCACTATTCATAACGGCGAAGAAACTCACCTCCTACTTTCAGGCCCATCCTATTATCGTGTTGACTGACCTACCATTGGGTACGGTCATGAGGGACTCCACCTCATCAGGAAGAATGATCAAATGGGCCATGATGTTGACTCAATTCAACATCGAATATCGCCCGAGGACAGCGATAAAAGGACAGGCCGTGGCTGATTTTCTTGTGGAGATGGCGGGTCACCAGGAAGATGAACCGGCTAGGGCTATCAGAGAGCCTTGGTGGTCCATGTCGGTAGATGGAGCCTCTGGACCGAAAGGTTACGGGGGAGGTGTAGTGTTCACAACTCCGGAAGGGTTTAAAGTATATCATGCCTTGATTCTTAATTTCAAGCTCACAAACAATGAGGCCGAGTATGAGGCGTTGATAGGGGGCCTGAGATTGGCCAAAACGCTACAAATCACATGCCTCAGGATCAAGTCCGATTCAAGCTTGGTGGTAGGCCACATCAATGGCAACATGGAGGCCAAAGGAGAGAAAATTCAGAAGTACAGAGACTTGGAAAGGGCACTATTGAAGGACCTGACTGAGTATGTGATGGAGCAAATCCCTAGGGGGGAGAACACCGATGCTGATTTGCTATCAAAATTGACGCAAGCAGCCCTGGAGCATGTGTCCAAGCTGGCCAGGATTGAGACGCTGGAAAAGGCTAGCATTGAAAGGCTTTCTGTGAGCCTGATAGAGGAGGATGGACAGCCCAATCTAACCCTGGTGGAACCTGATGATATTTGGATGGATGACTTGGTCAAGTATTACATGACCGGGCAATTTCCTGAGGATGAGGACAGGGTGAGAAAAGTAAAGTTGAGGGCTCCAAGATTCCAAATGCTAGATGGAAGGCTATACAAAAGGGCATTTGGCGGTCCGCTGCTGAGATGCTTGACCAGGGCGAAGGCGGAAAGAGTGATCGCCAAAGTTCATGAGGGTGTCTGTGCAGCCCATCAAATGTCCAGGACACTCGCACAAAGGATCATTTTGCTAGGTTATTTCTGGCCTACAATGAACCAAGATTGTGAGAAGTATGTGCAAAGTTGCAAGACTTGCCAGGTGTTCTACAAGTTTCCAGGAAGGCCTGCGACATATTACCACCCAGTTTCCAATGTTATTCCATTCGCAAGGTTTGGGATGGACATCATTGGGGCCTTCCCTCAAGCTCAAGGGAGGAAGAAGTATGTCATGGTCGCTATCGACTACTTCACAAAATGGGTGGAGGCCGAGGCATATGCAACCATCACAACCAAGCAGTGCCAGCGCTTTGTCTGGAAGAATATAATCACCCGGTTCGGGTCTCCTCGAAACATTGTGACGGATAACGGGCCTCAATTTCAAAATCCAGAGTTCACCAAATACTTGGAGGACTTTGGGATTACTCACAACAAGGCTTCCGTGGCCTACCCGCAAGGGAATGGTCAGGTGGAGAATGCGAACCGCACAATAGTCGATGGGATCAAAAAGCGGTTGGGTGAGGCAAGAACGAATTGGTTAGAGGAGTTGCCACATATCATCTGGGCTTACCGAGTCACTTCGAGAAGGGCCACCGGGGAGACACCTTTCGTCCTTACTTATGGATGTGAGGCCAGACTACCCATTGAAGCAAAGATAATGACCTTCCGGGAAAAGATCTACGAGGAGAAAGTGAATGAGGAGGACCATTTGGCAGAGCTAAACTTGTTGGAAGAAAGGCGGATGGTCGCTGAGGCTAAAATGATGGAATACCAGCAAGCAGCCAAGGCCTACCATGATAACAAGGTAGGGCCTCGTTATTTCCAAGTGGGTTACGAGGTCTTGAGACGAAGGGAGGCCAGCAAACCCGGAGAAGGGGGAAAACTTGCAAAGAAATGGGAAGGCCCATATAGGGTCACAGCAATATTACGCCCTGGGACATACAAGTTAGAAACAATGGAAGGTCGAGAGTTGGAAAGGTGCTGGAATTCCCACCACCTTAGAAAATTCTACCGATAGACCAAATTGGCAGGGCATGTATTTGTAATACCCCTTCTATGATAAATAAGAGATTTCTTCAATACTTGTGTTGCTGGTCAGTAATACTAAACTAATGTCTTGATGTAAGAGGCAAGGTTTAAAAAAAAAAAGATAAACCCTTGAGATAGGGGCCTTGATGTTGAGGTATGGCCTTGAGATAGGCTGGGTCTGGAAGAGGACTCGCGTCCATACTTACATGGATCCCTACCAAATTTTCATTTGGACAGGGGCAAAAAGATGCCAAAGTAAAAAATGATTACCGTCTTGCATGAGCCATCCTTAGCGGATTGAAGGGTCTAGGGAAGACTAGAATTCACTTCAAACGCATAACATATGGACATGTAAGATTGGATGAGGGCTGGTTCTCACCGGCATACCCCCACGTGGGAAGATTGGGTTGGCTAGGTCAACCTAATGATTAGAGAATGGCACATTAAAAACTTAAAAACTGGAAGAGGGCCCTGGAAGAAGGGTGTTGTCTGGAAGAGGGCTGAACCTTGGAGAGGGTTCGCGATCATAGGACATGGTCAAAATCTCCGAAGAAAGTTCGGGTCTTGATGTTGAGACTTGATGATACCAAAACCGATTCGGATTATTCGTTCAAAGTTTGAGCAAGGTTACTGATAGGCATGACATCCAGGCCAGAGGGGGAAAAGAAGGTGGCATGATCAAAAGTGACCGGTCACTTTTTGATGTTCTGGATTGACAAGAAAATGCGAATGGGAAAAAATTAAAAATTTGACCGGTCAACTTTGAGAAAAGTGACCGGTCACTTTTTAGTTGGCGGATTTGATGAAATCAGACAAATCTGGAAAAAATATTTTTGACCGGTCACATTTTTTACTCGGCACCTGGACAGGAAATTTGACGTCATGCTGGTTACATATTGCAACCAAGCCATTAGAAGTTGGTCAGGAAGAATTCAACCTAGACGATTGTCACATTCTAACCTGGAAGTTGACTGGGTCAGAAGACAAGCGGGGAAGAAACCGACCTAGACGTTTTCAAGTCAAGAAACCAGGACATGAGATGACCTGGAAGTTTTCAAGCCTTTGCGTCTAAGGTGGTCTTCAAAACTTCCAACCTAGCCTACTACACCAGGACATGAGATGACCTGGACGTTTGTTGCAGTTCAACCTAGACACAAGCCGGTCCAGAAGACTAGTCAGGCATAAAGTGATCTGAACGTTCTCAAGGCTACAAGATCTGGACGTTTTCAAGGTTGCAAGACCTAGATGTTCTCAAGGCTTGTACTTGACCAGGACATAACATGACCTGGACATTTTCAAGAGATGGAATTGACCAGAACATGAAAAGACCTGGACGCTGTCAACAAAGCCTACCAGACCTAGACATTTCTAGGGCGTTAACCAAAGACTACAAAGGATAAAGCCGGTTACTTCTTTTGACTTGGAATCAAGCATATTCAATAAAATTGTCAACGAAGCCAATGAGGCCTGGACGTTTTCAAGACCAGGACATGAGATGGCCTGGACGTTCTTTAAAACGATTCCTAAGGTATAAGGCCGGTTAGTTTTATTGACTTGGAAGTTCATTCAAAGGCGATCAAGAAAAAGAAAAGAAAAGCTATCATGCAAGAAACAATAACCTTGCATAGAAAAGAAGTTCAACCATGCAAATTGAAGTAGATCGACCAGTAAAAGATAAAGGCATGCCAAGAGGATTTAAGTTTCATACAAATCAAAAGTAGGCCGGACATCCCCCAGGCCTTGGGAAAATTTAGTGTTTGAAAACATACCCTAACCTACTCGAGGGGAAAGGGGGGAGCTGGCTCTTCCTTGTACAGGGCTGGAAGCTTCAACTTGGCCGGGTCGAATGAAGGGTCCTTCCTCTGGAGTCTGACATAGAGAAGAGATCTCTCTTCCTTTTGGCCACACTGAAACCCATAGGACCCGACATCTGTTATCATTCTCTTCCCTTCCGGTTCCTTATACATGACTTTGAAAAAATCCATGGTGTCCTCTGGATTGGTGAGAATGGACCGGGCAACTTCAGTGTGATGGCAGGCGGCCCAAATCACAGCATCATCAGGAAAGGCCTCCTCTTTTGACCGGGCAGTCTCTTCAGCTTGGGCCAACGCCTCTTCAAGCTCAGCGACCTTTCTCTTGCCTTCCTCCTCCAACCGGGCAGATATGGCCCTCTCCTCCTCCAACAACGCCCTCTCAGCCCTCAGCTCTACTTCTAACCTTCTCTCCCTCTCGACCAGGGCATTTATTTCTGATTTGGCCGAGTCAAGCAGGAGATTCAGTTGGGAGGCCTGGTTGGTTGGCTCGATGAGTGACTGGCCAATCTCTTCAGAAAGGACTCCAACCTGGAAAAGAAGTTTGTCAGTTAGAGACCGGGCTAATAATTAAACCGAGCGAAAAAATAGAGATGGCATACCTTTTGGAGTCTTCTGGTCAATGCAAGGAAGGCTTCTTCAACCGACTCCCCTTCCAAGTCAAGCGACCCGGTCTTCTTCTTCTTGCCCCCTTTGGAACTCTTATGGGAGCCCTTCCTTTTCTGGCCCTTAGCGTGGGAAGAAGAGTGGCCGGTATCCTTGGACTTGGATTCGAACTGGGCCTGGAAAGAATTAACCCGGTCATCTTCGAAGAGATGGGTAACCGAAGGGGACTTCACCTTCTTATCTCGGATGAGATCGTCGAGGGGAGTGCACCGGGCAGATGAAGCCCCTTCCTTCCCAGGGTTTTGAGGGGGAGAAGGAGGATTGCGATTGGGAGACCAGTTGGAGTTGAGGACTTCGACATCATCGTCATCATCTTCGATGATGGTGGTCATCCTGTTGAAGTTCATGTCTGAAAAAGAACAAAGCAACAGATGACCGGTTATTTTTCGAGCCTTGTACATAAATAAAGAAAATGAAATTAAGAAGCTTAAGAGAAGATGATCGACCTGGACGAGGAGAACTGGCCTCAGCATGACCATCCGGGGAGTTTGCCCGGTCATCTTCTGCGTCATCCGGATTAGATAGCCGGAATACCCAGCCTCCATAGGCATAAGGTTTCCCGGTCACAGGATCACCCTTGAGAAGTTTCTCGCAGGCGTCCTCAAGATCTTTGGTGGGCTCCGGATGAACCCTTTCAGGTTTTATAACCCGGTCAGCCCACTCGGGGTTAGAGAAAGGAAATTGGTCAGGGGGGAATTCAACAAAAACAAATCTTTTCTTCCATCTTTTGTGGCTAGGGGGAAGACCGGTCACAAAACTCCTCTTATTATGAGAATGAAAATAAACAAAGCCCGGGCAATTACTAGTCCCGGGCAAGACTTCGTACATGTGGAGGAAAAGCTCAAGGGAAGGGTTGATTTTCAGATTTTCACAGATATTAACAAAACAATTTAAGAACCGGTGAGCGTTTGGAGTAAGCTGACCGGGCAAAATATGAAACTTTTTACAGATTTCAATAAGGAGGGGGCGGAGAGGAAAAATAATACCTCCCTCCCGAGACGCAATATGGAAACCCAACCGGGTTCCCTGGTGGGGTTCAATGATGTTGGGCCAGGTGGTAGTGGAAAGGACTTTGTAGCCCGGTGGGAGGATGGTACGGACCTCGGCCAGAACCTTTTTGGTGACCCTAGAAGACTCTTTGAACACCGGTCTGACATCAAGGGCTAGGAAGCCCAAGGATCCCAGTCGTTCCTCCCATTGCTCCCAGCTAAGGACCTTGGGATTGAATCGACCGGGCAGTTGATTCAAAGGGACAGGGTCCTGGGCAATTATTTCCCGGGCCTGAGATAATCTGACCACTCTCCCCGCCGCTTAGTTTCCTCACTGTCCCCCTCTCCTATATTCAGAGTGGGAAGAGGAAGAGGGCTGAGAGCCTGATCCATAGGATTGGCCAGATATGTTTTGGCTATCAGAAGACATGACCTAGGCCTACCGGTCAAAAATGGAGAGATGGAAGAATTAAAAGACTAGGAGGACTAAAGCACTTACTTGGAAGAGAGCTAGAGAGAGAAAGCTGACCGGTTGAAATGGAAAGATCGAAGAAGAGAAGTGAAGAAATGAGATGGGTTGGAGGGGTATTTATAGGAGAGAGAGAGGCGTTTTGGAGCTCAAGGCGACAGGTGGGAGAAGGAGCGCCTGACACGTGGAAGAGGTTATGATTAAGAGGGAAAATTTGAATTTTGAATGGTAAGGTGAAAGGTTTTGGGGGGAAATTCAAAAAACTGAAGGGTCAGGGCCAACGCTTGGACTTCCACTAACCTGGCACGTGGAAGAGGTCATGCAGCGTATTCCACAAATCCAAAAGTGCCAGGTCTGATATGAAGACGATGAATCAAGGAAATGGGCAGGTCTCCATAGAAAGGTCATGGGAATGGCTCGACAATTTAAAAAAGGGACAGGTCAACGAGAATGACTTGATGATTCCAGAAGAAGACAGGTCTAAACGGAAAGGTCTGATAATTCTAAAAGCGACGGGTCTAAAAGGATGGGTCAACAAGAATGACATGATTATTTCAAAGAAGGACAGATCATGGGAATGACTTGATGATTTCAAAAGTGATAGATCAACATAAATATACTTCCCGCCCTTGATGATTTCATCACAAGGCCGGTAAGTGGAGGACTTCTTGATGGGTATATCCTTATACCCGACCCGGACAACCGAAAGGGACAGGTCAAAATATGACCGGTCACTTTTATCAATTACCAAATGAAGTTAACTCTTCGATTGGGACGGGTCAAAAGTTGACCGGTCACTTCCACTAAAAAAGTGACCGGTCACATTTTGGGCGATAGCGAAAATATCATCTTATGCTACGAAGGACATTCTAGTAGACCAAAGAGACGGGTTGAGCGCAAGAAATGACCGAGTAACCTTTTAGAGAAGGTGACCGGTCATATCACTTTACTTGGCTAACATTGGTCCAGTCTCTTAGGCATGGTGAACCACGTCTGAGGTCAAGGGGACACCCTGCCGCTCATCCATCACGAGGCACACAGTGAAAGGGATGTTTGTCATTTTGCAGGGTTGATTGGATTGAGAATATCCATTTTAGTCTTTGATTGAACAGTGCTTTTTGGTTGTATTAGTAGCAAGTCCATGATTGTACAGTGCTTCCATTATCTACAGTGACCTTCCCACGAGCTTCCTATTTTGTCCATGGATGAACAGGGGAAGGTCACAAATCCTCCTCTATAAATATGATGATATTGGATAGAGGGGATCCAATTTTTCTCTCACTAAAGTTCACTCTTGAGATAGAGTAAGAAATATAATTCGGACTGAGGAGATTTACCCGGTCTAGGTCATACTTTGTGTTCTGGTTGTGTGTTTTATATTACGGGTCGAGTGTGTCCAGGTCAAACCCGGTTAACCCACCCCACTATATTTACACCATCAGCATCATTGAAGTACTTGGTCTTGATGCATATTTTAATTTTTGGCACTTGATGAAATGGACTTTCACACTAATTTTAGTACTATAAATTTTATGATCTTTTGTTTACTGACTTTAAGATTAAAGCAAGTTCACTTTGCACTAGAAAGTGAATTACCAAATTCACTGAAACCAATTTAGTACTTCCTCTCACCCATGTATGTCATTTTGTTCTTGTTGGAAATGTGATGTTTATGTTTATGTAAGCGATGTGTATACTTTTTTTCGAATTGTGTGGACTAAAATACTCGAATCCTATCTGATGGACAATAAATCCACCAAATGATCCGATTCGGAAGAACGGATCGTAGAAATGAAATAAGAACAAGAACTCGAGAATTAAGTGTGTATTATTAGCTTGATTTAGCTTGAGTCTTTTCCCCTCTCAGGTCTCCTCTATTTATACATGGATTCTAGACTGTTAAGGTAATACATAATCAAAGGGAGTCTATCCCGTCAATGGCGCGATCCACTTTTCCCGGCTTCATCTCCGTTCTTCAGCGGAGTCTTCTCCCCCGGACAGGCTCTGCCAGTTGTCTTGGGTTAAAGTAGACTGGGCCTCCGTTATGGGCCGGCCCATGTTCGAGTATTTTCTGTGCGCCTGACCCAGAATCTGCCAAGTGATTTATTTGGGCCGCCCACTGGATATCGGCCCATCACTATCGTCGGATAATAATAACAAATAGTGTAATACATTATTGATTTTACCCTCACGGCCTCACTCATGTTATACTCCGGGTATAGTTTATTTGAATTAGAATAGAGAAAAATTTCTTTTGCGTAAATGTTGTGCACATTAGGTATTAAAAAAAGGAACACTTCTAGAGCCACTAGCTCCCGTAAATTGACTTTTTTGGTTCGACACTTAAGTATTGACAACAGCTAAATTCAATTTGCTATATTGACACTAGCTATACTTGACTTCCACTATTTTTTTTAAAAAAAATAGTGGA